CTTCCGGTACGACCCCACCCACCACACCGCCGCTGTCCTAGCACTAGCTTTTACCATCACTCATCTTCCCGGTACGACCCACCACCACACCGCCGCTCTCCTAGCACTAGCTTTTACCATCACTCATCTTCCCGGTACGACCCACCCCACAACCGCCGCGGTCTATATTAGCTGCCAGAAAGAAATACCCCCAAGGTTACTGCCTTTCAGCGGTTTTAAAACCATACTCTACAACAATGTACAGGGAAGTATGCTGCCGTGCATCTAAACAGTTTTACCTGCGATAATAAGAAGATCAGAATCATAAGGAAATGTTTCCTAATTTTCGACCCCTTGGGGGCCCTTTCTTTGTTTGGGTTGCCCCTTTCTCTGGCATTAGCAGAAAGTATAGTCCTGGCTCCACGCAAACATTTCTTTAGATGAGCGCATAAAATGATACCGCCTATACCTTGTGGATATTCTAACTGGGTGACAGTTGCCGGGGAGTTGGAAGATAGGATAGTAGCTTGCGTTAGTGTCGTTCGGTAGCTATCGTATCGGATAGCTATGCGTCAAAACTGACTACCCCCCACTCACTCCTCGTTACTCTCCATTCAGAACATGGGTGCTTATACCGTTGCCGCCGCGTCCTGCTTAACGGCTTCCCGAAGCCAAATCAACTACTACATCCGACGCTACGGAGGGCAGAGCAGGGAGGTCACGACCTTGGCGAGATCGGAAGGTCCGACCTTGGCGAAGATGCGGCGGGTCACGGCACGGCGAGGTGATCACCGTGCAACGTCGTCCCGGCCGTTCCACTGCCCGCGTCGGATCATGCCCAGTGCTTAGCGCACCGCAGCCGCGGCCGCCTCCCCCCCTGCCCCACCTCGTTGCAGCAGTTTCTCGCTCAGCGTTTTCATCGGTCTTCGGCCCCGCCGCCGTCTCCTCGACTAGTTTGGTAGTTTCGTCCGTTTCTCGTCGCCCCTCCTCGATCTGCGCAATCGAGTTTCTCCGTCACAGCGGCGGCGGCTGGTCTGAGTCGTGTCGCGTCCTGCGGAGCGCGATTCATGCGCTCGGCCAGATGCTTCTCGCCCCCGGACCCTCGGTAACGCGCCGGCACCCCGCCGCCCGGCCTCGACGCTTTTATTAGTGGGCCGCGCCGCGTCGCCAGCGTTTACGTTATTTTACATTCTTTTGTACGTTTTTTTTTTGGTGGTGTTCACTACATATTGGAGGTGAATTCTTTTTTATGTAAACGACCCAATTTTTGGTTTTGTTATTGGTTGCGGACCAGTTCATTTTGAACCGAACAAAACTGAACCCAATGTATGTATCTTCCTGCTCAGTGCCACAGCTAACGAGAAGGTCGTTTGTGGTTAAGATTACACGCTTATCTAAGAGCGTAGCGATAGATGATATATTCTGCTGCTGTCAGCTTTCACCATGATAAGTTTAACCACAACACTTGGCCATGAATGTAACCGGTGCTAATAGTCCTTCAGCATTAGAGCTAGACCAACTGAGTAGAGAGTTCATGGGGGGTATGAGTTCTGTTCTAGTTAAAAAAAATATCAAGAATTGAGGTGTACAGAAGTGCCTGAAACTCTGCAACTACAAAGGAATGTAAACGACGAAGGAAAACGCTTGAGAAAATTCTTGAAAAAAAAGAATAACAAAAATTGTACTGCTTTTCTTGTTAAAATGTTGCTGTTAAAAACCATTGATGAATAGATATGTCATTTAAATGTCGGCAAAATTATTCTTGACGATTGATATCTGCGCCTGTTGGCAAAGCCACAGAACAAATTCAACTTTACTTTTAAAGTTTTCCAGGATTACACCTGCAACGAAGATGTTGCGGTAAACTACGTTGAAAAATAAATTTGAAATAAGTAAACAAGTTCAAATTTTGAATTTTTGTTTTTTATTTTATGACACTGTGATTTCGTAATGGTATCAAAACAATACAATCGGAGAAGCTCTTGCCGATGTAGATGATCACAGTATTATACCCCTTATCAAACCATGAACACGGACTTTGCCAATTTTTGTCTATGCCAACTCTGCCAACTACTACACTTGCAAATTGATAAAACGTAGAAAAAACAGTTAATATTCTAGGGAGGACTAGCAAATTTCCCGGTCAATATTTATAACCTGGGGAGTCGTGCTAAAACTATTACATTATTTACAACATTCCAGTTAATTGTTTAGGATTGCAAATTGCATTCATTTAATTAGTTGTTATCTTATAAGAGATGCAACAAACATCTGATTAACTATTCGCTAATACAACTTCACCCGTATCTTGTGAATACCAAATAGTGATCACACCTTCTATTAGCGCCAAGGTCTACGTCCCCCTGGGGTACTCGCCGAAACATACCCTGGTCACTAATTTGATTATGTTAGGCGTTAGGGTTAGGAGTAGGCCGTTAGGCGACTCCCTAGACTCGCTTAGTGGAGTAGACGAGGTACCGGTCGGCATTATTAGATATAACCAGGATACGGTTCCGTATACGCGGCACGCTACCCAGGGTTACGTACCGGCAGTACCTGGGACATATGACCCTCTCGCAGCTCTATTAGGCACATTACCGGCGAGGAACAGTTCGTTTCTGATTTACCTAGCAACATGTTTACTACGTATGCCACAGCTCGTTATTTTACCTAGAACGTACCCATGGATGCATACAGCTTCTTGGTAACTAGAAACGTTACCCAGCTGAAGTATACATCCATGTTACTTATATTAGACTTTAGGACAGGATCGACAGCTCAGTTAGCCTAGGAGGCGCGTTAAGTGATGCCCACAGCGGAATGGTGAACAAGGCCTCATTAGCTAGGAGCGCCGTTACAGTGATGCCCACACGCGGATCCGGCCTAGACAGCTCAGTTAGCTAGGGAGCGCGTTCCGTTACAGTGATGCACAGCGGATGGTGACAGCTCATTAGCTAGGAGCGCGTTACAGTGATGCACAGCGGATGGTGACAGCCTTCTCTATGTCCTCCAGTACCTTCATGGCTGCCTGCGGGATTCGTGTTGCTAAGCAGAGGGACACAGAGAAATCAAATTAAAATAATCGTCACTCAAACACATCCAAAATCTGAAAACCTCTCAGTCTGATCTAATGAGATACCGATTTAGCTCATCATGATCAGCTTATAACCTACAGCTGATCGAATAAGCTACTTATTACACAAACTTGAAAATTACCGAGGATTTATGCTGTAATGGTATAAAAATGTCAAATAATGTAGTCACATTCTTGAAAGTCACGACAATTGTTTTAATTCCTTGAAGTCTCCTGAACAAGGCAACACCACTGCATGCAGTAACATGCTCCAGTAAAATATTGTTAACATCAAAATAGGCTTGTATTGGCTTTGTTGTGTTGTATTGTATTGTGTTGTAGTGGCTTTGTTGTGTTGTATTGTATTGTGTTGTATTGGCTTTG